GAGGAGTAGTGATTTCCAGTGGTTTATAACAGCTGTCCAGCATGTTAGGGAAGCAGAAGCAAGGCTCCCACGGCCAATGACTTTTGTCACCTTCCAGCACAGGGGAGACAAAGCAGCAACAGCTATTAAAGCTCTTTGAAGCAGTAATTTTGTCGTACTGAAGTATATGTACCAAGCTTTATTTGGGACCTATAGTTGCTACCTTAATATAAATAAATAATAGGGAAGCAATTCCTGCTAGTCAGGAAAGCTTTCAGTCACAAAAAAGATTACCTTTTCAACCAACAGCACCGGGCAGAGGTTGAATTTTTTTTTTTTTAAAGAAATGATTTATTTCAACATGATGTATTTGTTTCAAAACCATTTAATTATCCCTCCTTTTCAGAGCCAAAGCACATGTACCGTGGTGTAAATACATATTTATAATGGATAATTGGGGGAAAATTTCACTGATGGCAGCCAGAATTATTTAAAGGCTATGACAGCTTCTGTTGTTTCTGCCATCAAATAACTTTAATTCAGGAGGACTGCAGCATGCAAATGAGCTCAAGTTAAATATAGGTGTCCACGTCTCACATGTTAGCTTCACAGCAGGCACAGATTGGTACCCTCAGAACAGAGGCCAAGAGAGCACCCGGGCCACATATGCTAAATGGTTTTCTCCCCCATTAGAGGTGGTCTCTTTAAGTCAAGGTTATGACACATTAATGGGAAATGGGGGAGAGGGTGGGGAGCTTACGTTGTGCCTGCCCTGGCTCTCTCTCTTCAACTGGATGTCATTCCCCAGAGTTGTCAAGCCAGTACTTTCACTGGAATTCATTTTACAAGTGTTTTAAAATGCTAGAGAGAGAAATAGTAAGCTGCTCACCTGAAGAAGCTGTCACCTACCTACCAGCCAACAGTCGGTTCTTCCACACCTGTCTTGAAATCAGTGGGCCTCCTTTCCTGCTCTAGTAGAGCATCCTTATGCTACACTGACATAAGCTGCCTAATGAAACAATAAGTGGATCTCTTCCCTCTGTTTTTGTGCCATAGCCCTTCCCTACAGGGGAAGAGTATGGCCATCAACAAAGGGGTTGTCATGTCCCTATGCACTGGTTGCTCCTGGGATATCCTCTTCAAGCTACTGGCTGCTCTTGTGAAATAGAGAAACTCCCCATTTTACAGGCACAGGGAACTAAAGCACCAAACTATTGCATGACTTGTCCTAGATCACTCAGGAAATCTGTAGCAGATCAGGAAACAGAAGCCAAGTCTCACAAGTATGATACTAGATGCTGGGGTATTCTTCCCCTCCACCTGCCTGAAGCAGGATAAAGGCTGCGTTCTTCCAAGAATTGTGTACACACACATCAACCAGCTCCAGGAAGTCAGGGATATTGGTTGTAGTGGTGTTGGTCTAAAGGCGTAGGCAGAAAAAACTCTAGAGGTAGATATCTTTCATTAGACCAAATAAATAGTTGCAAAAAATGTTTTTCTTTGCAAGCTTTCGGGCCCACATACCCTTCTTCAGGCAGAGGAGAATTCAAAGATTGTAAAATTTCTCCCCGGTAGAAACTTCACGTTGCACAGGGGAAGTCAGAGATGGTAGGGTTCCCCTAGGTGGAAAAGTCAGTTTGTAAAAAAGCTGCTTTGTGAGTATGCAAATAGAGTGCACACGAAGGCTGAAGCAGGCTGATTACCTGGAGGTGTCAGATGGCAGGCAGGGTGTTGAATTTTGCTTCTTTCTTGTTCAGGTGTGACATTTTCATTTCAAAACAGCTAATTACAATATCGTCTATGTTTCAGGGATATTGGTTGTAGCTGTGTTGGTCTAAAAGCATAGGCAGACAAAACTCTAGGGGTAGAGGCGATATCTTTTACTAGCAAAATGCCCATCATAAATGACGGGGGGAGGCGTGGGGGCGGGACAGAGATGGAGACCAGCATCTCATCCTGCACCCTCCTCCTGCTGCTCTGGGTCCAGTTCTGCTCCCCCCACCCTGCCGCCACTCCGGGTCCTGCCCTGTTCTCCATACCACCGTTGCCACTCCCGGTCTTGCCCTGCTTCCCCCGCCCTCCTGCCACCTCTCTGGGTTGTGCCCTGCTCCCCCTGCCGCTCTGTGTCCAGCCCTGCTCTACCCCCCCTACCTGCTGCTCCATGTGCAAGGGAGGGTGGTGCATGGCGGTGCAGGAGCGGGGTAGCGTGCACCTGCAGGGTGTACCATAGAGAGTGGCCACAGCATGAGGACCACTTGACAGATGTGTGGCAAGGAGAGCGGCTCCTGGGTGTGGTGCAGGGTGCATGCGGGGGTGTGTGGAGCAGTGCACGCATGGGGGCTGTGCAGGGCACATGCAGGGGTGGCACATGGCCATGGGATGTGACAAGGGGAGTGGCCATGGTGCAGGGAGCGCCTGCTGGCTGTGGCCACATGGCATGGGATGTGGCCCCAGGGTGTGGCAGAGGGCATGCAAGGGGGCATGGCATGCAGCCACAGGGTGCCACATGGGGAGCGGGCATGGGGGGGCATACCTGTGTGCTATAGGTGGCACTACCCATGCCTCCCTGACTGCTGCGCTTGTGGCACCCTGCAGCCACACATCATGGCCCCCACCAATGCAGGGCGCACCCAGCAGACCCGCATGCCACATCCCCATGCACCATGCCCCCCGCAGCCGCATGGGGGGATATCGTATGTGGGGGGTGGCATGCAGCCGCAGGGTGTTGCGTGGGGAGGGGGTGTGGGTGTGTGCCCCACCCCAAGGCCATGTATTACAGCCAGTGGGCACTGCTCACCCCCCCCCACCTGCTCCCCGCGTGGCACCCTGCTTCCGCATGACACGCCCCTCATGTGCCCCGCCCCCACATGGCCCACGGGGCATGGCTTGTAGCTGCGCAGGGGATATGGCATGCAGGGGGAGGGGTGGCGCACGGCTGTGTGGGACAGAACCTGGTGTGCAGCCACAGGGTGCCGCTTAGGGATTGGCCACGTGGGGGCGCACCCCACCCTTCGGCCACATGCTGCAGCTGGTGGGTACTGCCTGCACCCCCCTTGCCCGCTCCCCGCACAGCACCCTACAGCCACACTCCAGTCCTCACTTCTCCGCACGGCCATGTGCCATGCCCCCCTGCATGGTCGTAAGCCAGAGCCCCCCTGGTGGCGGCAGCCCATGCCCCCCACACGGCCAGCCACCCCACCGTGCCTTGCAGTGGGGAGCACAGCCTGGCCCCAACCACCTCCGCCTGTGTGTCTGCCTGTCAGTAAGGCTTCGGGTGGTGCATGTGCAGTTGGCCCGGAGTGTTACGGACAGACAGACAAAAAGCAGCCAGAAGTGCTACAGCTTGTATTATGTTAGAATTAGACCAACTAATCACGTCAAGTTTTCTTACTGTGTTACAAGATCCTCCAGTCCTCTGTTCATTTGTTATTTTGTATGGGGGGGGGAGTTCAGGGCTAAGAACAGAAAGCCCACAGCATCAGGGGGTTGACCCTTGTGGAGTCATTCAGACCAGTGCAAGGTAAATCGTAAGTGTGTGTGGAAAGCTACCATCCCATTTGGTCCCTACCCTGCCCTGATAAATCATTAAACTTGCTACAGTACGATGGTGATTCTTGCTCAAAACATTTAATTAGTTGACATCAAGCGTTAAAGGAATGAAGTTACTCCAGTTTTTTTATCTGAAATTTAAAATGATCAAAATAATTTTATTTGTCCTTTAGGTCCAAACATAACTTTTTCATAATTATGAATGGACTCAATAAAAACAGTATTCGCTAACAAGTGCTTATGCAATACAGAAGCGCTGTTATCATCACATATATATTTACCAGCTGGAGTTCTAATTGAAATTTGTTCAGAACTCAAAATAGCATTAGGTCATGTTATGCTTAGAGCATTAAGCAATGATTACATCTGTGGCTTTTGTTTTTAATTAGCTTTTTCACTTATCTAGGAGAGAGAGAACCTTTCAAGACCATAATTCATGTTTCATTACAGTGGGAAGAGAACAAACCAAGTCATCTTGCAGAAAGTGTGTGAGCATATAATTCACACTACTGACTGGGGGGCTGTTAGATCTGACTGTATTTTGATTTCCTGTCACTTATCAGTTACGTTAATTGCTTTTTGATGGCAAAGAGTTGCGGTCGTTTTACATTCAGGGATCTCAAATGACTTCTTACAAAAAAGAGATGTGCCCGTATTATACTGTATCTTACTTTTCCTTTGACAGAACAGGAACATTGGCTTCAGTGCATTGAACTAAAAAGCAAAGAGCCTCTTCTCATCCTCCAGGCAGTGTTTAGCTACAAGTACATTTGAATGAGGATTTCAAATGCAAGGTTAGGAATCTTATAAACCATGGGCTCCAATGCAGGAAGGTATTTAAGCATGTGCCTAGCTCTGAGCACATAACTAGCTCCAAGGAATATTCACCTCGTACAAGTGAAGTGGCTTGCTAAAGCTGGGCCTATATAAAAGAACAGGGCAAATCTTAGCAAGTGATGTGCTTACAGTCAATAACCACGTGCAGATGGCTCCCATTGGTGACTAATTGACAGGAATGACTTGTGGCAAGTAAAATGGCTGCAATGCAGTTTAGTCCCATGCCTGTTCCTTGTGCTGACATGCAGAAGGCTGGAGAAACTACTGCTGCTCTAAATTATACTTTATGTGGTACCTTTTTAATGCATACTCTTGGGGGTGGGGGGGGAATGAGTAGCCCCACATGCCAAGGTGTGTGGGGGATAATTTGATTTAATCCTCACAAGTGGAATACCTGTTGGGGGAAAAAAACCATCAACCCTCTCAATTGCTCTGTGGCATTGGAGTCCTGAAGGGAGCTCCTTCAAAGCCAGCACTCACATAGGCAGCTGGAGGTTTATCCTGTTTTGCATCGCTTCTCTGTGAAAGGGACAAAGCTCTTGACCAGCCTTGAGAGTTTTGTTGCATCAGAAGATGTATAAAGATGTCAGGTGGCTTCATGAGACTTGCAGATGTACAGCTAGAGGATAAGAACAAGGGCATTGATTCCAAACAAGCCAATAAGTGTGACACACAGGAGTGCTCGTAAAGGGACTGTGTGTGACATGGCCACTAGATGTGGTTCAGGATTGCAAAAGGCTTACATCTATGTGACATGACAGTTATTTTATTGTTTTTACGATCCTTTACTTTACCTTTCTTCCTCTCCTTTCTTTACATGAAATGCTCCAAATCTCCAAAAATATAATAGCTAATAAACATGACCATCACAAACTAAGACAACCAGTTAGTACTACCTACAAATAGAGACATTTAGGATCAGTGGTGATGCATAGGGGGTACACACGGGTGCATGTGCACCCCAAGCGTGGCGGTGCACCCCCTGCGAAATGGTGCCACCAATGCTGCCAGCGCCGCCTGCAGGTGGTCGCTGCTCGCCAACTCCTCCGCCCCTTGCTGCCGACACCTGTGGTGCCGTCTGTGGGCAGTCTGTGATCACCACCGGCCGCTACTGACACTGCTGGCAGCTGACCGCTGGTCGGCGCTTGCCACCCCGCACTGCTGACAGCAGCACCGTTGCCTGCAGTAGCTCGCTGTGCTCTCCCAGCCTCCAGGGGCATGTGGCGTTCATGTTTAGGATGGGGGTCAAGGGCAGACAAGGTTCCTTGGGTGAATTTGATATCTTTTATTAGACCAAGCCAAATAGTTGGAGAATAGTTATTAAGCAAGCTTTCGGGTTCAAAAACCCTTCGGCAGGCTAAGGAAGTTTCAGCAGTTGGTATGTCAAGGCACTTGACCTGAACTCCTTGACTTATTTGGAGATTCTCCAGGTTCTTATTGGGCATCTATCATTATCTCCTGCCAGTGACTCTGTATGCCTTTCCAATCACACCCCACACCGTGTCCTGGAACGTAGCTCTGTCTCCAGCTGACCCAGTCATTCTGCTATCTGGATCCTTCTTCACTGCTCTAGATTTTTTTGGTTTTTTGCTTGTGACCAGACTGATATGCATTATTCCTATCAAAACACACACGCAGACTGTAGCACTGTGAATGCCATAAGAAACAGAGATCCAGCATCTTCTCTGTCTTCTTCTTTTTTTTTTTTTTAAGTCTTATCTTCCCCTGTAATACTGGGGATTACAATGTATTAGTTTGAAGCAGATGATGCAGAGATTACCTCAACAGGCTGCTAGCCGATTTCTGTTCAGGATCTAACATTTCTCCTGTTTGCAGTGGGGGTAACTGGCTTGCTTACACTGCTTTTTGTCTCTAGTTTCTTGCCCAATAAATCATCTGTAGCCATTTTGGGATAAATGGACTTTGGCTTAAGAATCTCCGTTACATAGGCATAACGATTTTTGTCCCTCTGTCTACAAGTCTCTGAGATGGTGAGCCTAAAAAAAAAATAAAGTCATTGTAAGGTAATGACACTATTCTAATATCACTAAACATGGATGCCTTCAATCAGCTAGGCCTTTTTAAAAGGAAGCAAATCCTTTGTGGTTTGTTCTGACTTTTCTACATGAGTATCATATAAGTCCTGCTATTCGAATGGAAGAGAGATTACGTTGTCGATGATGCATGAAGCAAAACAGAGGGCAGCTTGCTCGCTTTGTTAGAGTTAGCTCAGCCAGCTTGTTCTGACTGGAAGTCATACAAGAGAGCAGATACACGGCTAATTTCTGCACTGCACTGAAGCCAATTGAGGGAAATGGAAACATTCCCATAGACTTTGGCTCAGACTTTTACTTACGCCCGGGTAAATGGAGAGCAGCGGCGCTGGTGATGCTGAGAGCAGAAAGATTAAAATTTATGCTCTGGCCAGCAGAGCTGCATCAGAGATAAATGTGGCATAAAGGCTGACGGTTCCTGTCTTCAGTTACACCAGTGCACGTTTCGCTGTCGGCTGTATGCATACATACACGTATTTGAAAACCACAATATCCTCTCTGTGCCATCCAGTGGAGCTGGGTTGCATACAGTTTTCCTGTCCTGTAAAACCCTTCCCATTCCATACAGAGACCATAGCAAGGCCTTTAAAGCTTGTGACAAAGCCCGTTAGCCAATCCCTTGGTGGCTAGGATGATCAACTGCCTGTAATTACTGGAGGTTTTCCTCTCCTCATTTCTAGGCAGACCTTCTATCCTAGACCCAAGTCACCTTTCCCAAGAAAAGTTTCACAGGAACTGGTAGATTCATGGAAAAAGTTTCTGCTTTGATTGCCTCACCTTCCCCACAAAAAGTTTAGTTATAAAATTCCCAGCCAGCTCTACAGTGCAATATAATGGGATTGTGATGGGGTAATTACAAAGCACCCGAGACAAAGGCAGAACTAGAATAGGCCTTTAGGTATTTCCATTTTTCCTTGTTAGCAGCCTCATTCAGATGCAATTTGTTGCCTTTTCTCTGTGTCAGTAGGACAGAAAAAACCCAGGCATGAGGATTCGCATGCTCCCTAGCTGTTGCCTCTCCTAAAATGCAACAATACCTTCAGCAGCTCTCTTCCCCTCACACAGCAGGCATTCAACCTGCGCATCACTGATGTGAGAGCCAAAACAAGCAGCCCCCGGGTGGATTTCCTTTTTGTCTCAGCTCTGTCCTTTATTTATGTTTCAGATAAGATGCAGATGGCCCAGTTGCTGCCTCCTTGTCCATGTGTGTCTAGGCAGGAAAAAAAAAAATTCCCCACCGCCTGTGCAGTTTTCTTAGCTGTCTCCTGCTCACCTCCACCTCCTCATTTCCCTCTTTATCTGGATTCTGTATTCTTCGTGCTGCTGTCAGTCCTGTGGAAATGAACACATCAAAGCCATAAGTAGTCGTTCTTTCACTGCTCCTGTGTCCTCTCCCCCCCTTCCTTCCTATAACATTAATATTAATAGCTACTGTACCTTTCTTAGCTGTTTCTTTCTTCTTGATCCTCAAGGGAGCAAGCCTTTTCTTGGACTTTCTGCTAAAGTGAATACTTGTTTGAAGGAATGCTAGGGCTTGCTGGGAAACACAACAGAGGGTGATGCCTGTGATACAATATTGGACCAAACAGCAGAGGCATTAAGTGTTATTGTACTGTCAGAACAGTCGAGCACTGTTTTTTCCAGCGTACTAAATTTTTTTTCTAGTAGGAAGAGATATGCAGGAGGCTAATGATGCCAAGCAGAGGATTTTTAAAAATTATTTTGCACTCCCCAAGGAAAGGAAAGAAAATAAGCTTTTCATCCCCTCCCTTCCCCCCCACTGCTCTCCCACTGGGCTGCTAGCTGGGAAGCAAAAGTGCCAGCCCATATAAGCAGGGGTTTAGGTTGTAGCCGTGTTGGTCTAAGGACATAGGCAGACAAGGTTCCTTGGGTGAATTTGATATCTTTTATTAGACCAACCCAAATGGTTGGAGAATAGTTATTAAGCAAGCTTTCGGGTTCAAAAACCCTTCGTCAGGCTCAGGAAGCTGCAGCAGTTGGTGTGTGCTCTTCCATCCACACCAACTGCTGCAGCCCATATAAGCACACTCTTTGTGTTTCTCCGGTACAAATACACACCCACATGCACACAATCAAGTGAGACAGACCAGCAGCAGCTATAACCATTGTTTATGGAATTATACTAATTAGATCTCTACCCTGTCAAAGGATTGTCTGCTTGTTGCTGTGTTTGTGCCTCTGCCTAAACTCTAGTGGTTTGCTTGGGCTGTGATCTCACATTGGTATTCTGTGATGTGGTTGTATGTCTAACACCACAGAGAAACCTTCCAGGTCCGAATTGCATACACACTTGTTGCTGCAGTATCTGGGTTGTTGTTGTGATCATTTTTAATCATGAACACGCCAGCATCTGAGACCACTTGTGTACTGATGTCTTAGGAATAGCGTATCAAAGTAAGATAACGGACACATTAGTAACATATTGGTGTTCTGCAATTCTGTGACTCCTAAGTGACTCTTGCTGTTATAGGGAGCGCCATTGTAATACATGATACAGAAAACATTTCCAGGGGAAACACAGCGGGTCAGGGTTTGTTGCTCTTACCAGGTATTGCTGTGAAGGAGCATTGGCTATAAAGGAATTCTCTGCATTACCAGGTTTGGCCTTGTGAATAAGCTATTCCAAGGGCAATTTCACAGCAGACAGACACTCATTTCCACACTAAGTACCTGCACAGGGCCAGGAGAGCGGTGCTGGCTGCAGGGGTAGCTTTTTCCCAGGCCTGTGTACGTCAGGACCCATCCCAACATGCATGAGGCTGGGAGAGAGCTGCCCCCGCAGCCAGCACAGCTCTGCCAACCCCATGAACATCGGGACCAGCCTCTGTACACCCTGCCAGCCCCTGGGATGGCGCCAAGGGGGGCCTGGAGCTCTCACTGGCTGCTGAAGGAGGGCAGAGCAAGGCAGGAGCAACCTTGGTCCAGGCTGCTCCCGTTGGGTGCAAATCTGTGCCTGACAGGGCGCATGTGTAGATGTGTTCCCAGCCACATCTTACTGTGCTTTATTTTACTGTTCAGTAAACTTCCTATGTATTAATTGCACATGTAGATGCAGCCAGTATGAAGGAAATATCATAGGCCTGAATCAACGCCCTTGGACATTAATAGGAGTCCTTCTGTTGTGTTTCATGAGTTTGGATAGGGACCTAATCACAGCTGCTTGGAGGCAAGGCAAATTATAAAAGCACACTGCTCAGTCCTAGGATGATGGCCCCAAACACTTTGGCTAAAAGCCGTGATATGCAGTGCTCTAGGTTACTGCTGAAAACAGGAGTTGATTGGGTATAACTCAGCGAGGAAATCTTGGTTCTTCTTATCAAGAAGAAAAAAATCATTTGCTTGTCTGTCACAAATAATCACCAGCTGGATAGTTTAAGACACATGCAGCAGCATCACATGCTAATGTAACAGAGCTGCCTTGTGTTTGCAAATATGAAACCAAAACAAAGTTCCAGGCTGCGTCCGAGATCTCTGCAGGAAACCTAATAGGAAAATTCAAATGAGGGCACGCTTTGCTGCTTGTCTACAGGATTTTCCCCAAAGGTCTCCCTAGTCCCCAAGCTTATGATCTTAATTAACCCTCCCTACCTTGTTTTGAGAAATGGAATTTTAAATAATTATTGGGATGTACTGGCTTCCTCACCAGAGTATCAGACCTCTCACTCCCAATTAGTAATGCTCATTTTTTTAATCATTTTCATTCAGTGCTATGGTGCAGAAGGAAAGTCAGATGCACAGATGGCCAGAGCCCCAATTGGTATAAAGCTGTCCAGTGTCAATGACATTGGACCAAAAAATTTCCAGCATGGGCCTTGGATCTGCAGCCACTGAAGCAGGAAACTGCTGCTTCTGGTCAAAGCTGTCCCCAGTTTTCAGGTGACATTTTGGTAGCCCTCCCCCTGAATAAGTGCACTGGTAGAGCAAGCATGACAGCTTGCTATGGTGCCATAGCCGAGAGTTCAAGTCTTGCTCTGGGTTTGTGCCACAAGCTGTCCCCAGCTGTAAATGGGGCCCTGCTTGTTCCAGAGAGGGAGTCAATGCCAACTGGTTGAGACGGTAGCCACAATTCCTCATCTGTAAAATGGGGAGGGGGGGATGATGTCACAGGGATGCTGTGGGGATATTGAAGACTGTGGGTGCATCTATACATGTGCCCGACTGTGTAGTTCTTGCTGTGCAGTCATTTAGTTACTTGCTTTAGCTAAAGCAAGTAACTAAATGACTGTGCAGTAACTGCTGCTACTGTGCAGTCCTGGCAGCGCGTGGATCGTTTCCGACCCTACTGCACAGTAGCAATGAGCTATTGTGTAGTAGCTCATTGCTACTGCACAGTAGCATCGGTGTCACAGATTATGCCTGCTGATGCTGCATTGCCATAGCAATGAGCTACGGTGACATAGCATCTTGTGTAGATGTGCCCTATATGTCTGAAAGAGTGGCAAGTATACAGATGATTGGTATTTATGGGGGTTCCCAAATTAGTTCCTTTTTCCCCAAGACCTAGTTTCTTCGCTTTATGGCCAGGCTTTGTGCTTGTAAGAAAAGAGGGGTTTTTTTGCCTGGTAAGGATGCCCATGAAAGGTTTTTAGATTTACCAGGCATCAGGATAAGATCTCAAGCCCATGCATGTGTTAATTTGAAGGGGAACATCCAGATCTTTGAAACTGGCCCTTGCAATAGCAGGCAGCCCCTTGCAAAAATGTTTTAAAAGCTTTTAAATGAACTCAGTTTTATGTTACTTGCTGTAATCAGTACAGAAGTCTCTGTGTCATTTATTTTGATAGTAGCTTCATTTTGCTTTACATTGTCCCCATGTTTCCAGTACGCAGAAGATTTCTGTATCACCAGTAATGGGCTATTAAGGAAGACATGTACTGTCTGGAAAACGATCTAATAAAAAGGGTCCTTTTCAAGAAGAGAACTTGGTACCTAGAAAGTACATTCTTTTTCAGATGCAGAAGTCAAGCAAGGGGGTGATGAATCTGAGGGGCAGAAGTGAAGCTCTGGGGTACATGCAGAATTGAGGGGATGTTAGAATATAGTATTCCTGTAGAGCTGGAGCAGCAGAACAACTGCAAGCCTAGAACTGATATGGGGCTGGTGGGGACAGGACAGATTGAGTTGGGGGACAAAATTGCTGGGCAGTGGGCAGGACACATTTAAGGGTGATGATAGACCCTTCCTCCCCCACCCCACCCAAACTCCCCCATTAGATCATGTTAAGCAAGAGCCCCTTGTACCTAGTCTGAATCCCAGAAGCCATGGAGTACCACTGCTGTTGCTGTGCCTAGGGCTCTATCAGTAAGGTTCACATTGCAGGATGAGGGCCAAAGTATGTTCTTCCCTCCCTTGCAGCAAAGGCAGTGCCTAATGATGTAGGGAAGGACTCAGAAAAAATGCTGCTCTGATATCAATGCGTGGGGAAGCTGAGGAATGTGGTGATAAAGAACTGCTGAGCGGTTGTACTAGGGTGTTCCTTTGCATGTTGTCTATGGTGGAGGAAAACATTTGGGCCTGATAGTGCTGCTTTTCTTTGGAACTGGGTGTACTAGTCACAATTTGTATTCTATTTCCACTGATAAAGGGTGAATCAATGGTTAAATAGATGCTTTATGCAGCTGTTTTATGTTTTAAAACATGCAGATGTTGTAAGTTTTATGCAGGAGGATTATGCAGCACTGGCCCACACCTCTAGGGAGCAGATCAGAAAAGCCAAGGCTGAAACCGAACTCAAACTGGCTACGGGAATCAAAGACAATAAAAAGTCCTTCTTCAAATATGTGGGATGTCGGAAAAAAAACAAGGGCTACGTCGAACCCTTGCTGAACCAAATGGGACAGCTGACAACCGACACCCAGGAAAAAGCTAATCTCCTCAACGATTAGCTTGTGTAGGTTTTTCACCACCCCAAGAGGATCACCCTGCCTGACAGGATGCAGGATTACTAGGGTAAGAGCGAACATAGGCCTATAATTGGCGAAGATCTTTTGAGGGAAAAGTTTGGGAGGCTGGACAGCCACAAATCAGCTGGCCCGGATGGAATGCACCCAAGAGTGCTAAAAGAGTAGGCTGACATCATAGCACGACCAATGGCAAGGGTATTTGAGAATTTGTGGTGCTTGAGAGACTTTGGAAGAGGATCAATGTGGTGCTTATCTTCAAGAAAGGAAGGAAGGAAGATCCAGGAAACTACAGGCCAATCAGTTTGACCTCAATCCCTGGAAAGATCTTGGAAAAAATCATCAAAGAAGCCCATCAACAGGCTAACAGAAGGTGACATTCTGAGATAGCCAACATGGCTTCATTGCGGGTAGGTCTTGCCTGACCAACCTCATCTCCTTCTATGGACAGGTGATGTATCACCTAGACAAAGGAGAAGAGTTAGATGTCATATATTTAGATTTCAAGAAAGCCTTTGATTTGGTCTCCTATGATGTCCTTATGGTAAAATTGGGGAACTGCGGCCTCGACAGCCTTATGGTCTGATGGCTGGGGAACTGGCTCTGTGGTCAGACCGAGAGAGTGGTAGTTGATGGAACTGA